GAGCTCAGCCAGATGCAAGCCCCCCCCAAAAAAGTGTAAGGCTATCATGACCACTTTGCTTTGGTTTCTTTCCTTGTACAAAAACGTCTAGCAATCATTTGTTCTGGTCATATAAAACACAGAAGGAAAAGCCTGATTTTTCCCTAATGGGGAATGAATGGCAGATCTCCAGAAGTGTTCAAACACATCAGGAAGCCCACTAACTCACCCCCCAACTACCATTAAGTGCACAAATTGTTTATAGCACAACACAAGAAATATGCTTCTCCCTTCACTGAGCCTATTTTTCCACGTGTGCCATACACTCAGCAGTCTCTGCATTTTCCTTGCCAAGAGGGAAGCCGGCTCTGCATCCGAGGAAAGGTAACGTGTGGCAATTACTAAATCCATTATCCTAGAGCTCCTCACTAGTTACACACACACACATGCAGACACAGTCTCTCTGTTGTGCTCAAAATATAAGGAGATACCCTTAATTAGAACAAGGCAGGTTGGTGAGCATGAAACACCCAGCCCAGCTGCCATGTGCCATTAAATTCATAAAGAGGAGGAGGGGGAGGGAAGGGCAGCCTTAACGAGATTACACACATTGACTTTGATCAAGACACAAAAGCACTAAGGCGTTCCAGGGTTTTTATTGCTGTCTTCGGGCTACATTTTAATGGTTACATTAGAAACATGTGAACATAGGCAGAGAGATTTTTTAAAAGAGAGTGAGAGAACAGCGCCTGCTTTGCAAAAGACCCTGCTTTAATAAATTGTGGGCTGTAGGGAGAAGGCGAGGGCTGGGGAACAGATGAGTGGCCGCTTATTAATTGCTTCCCTTGTGCAATTTCCAACTCGGAATGCTGTGTTTGGGTGAAACAGCTCCCCTCCCTGTCGCATGGTCATCGCCAGTGCAGGGATCATTCTCAGAACGCTACTTGGGCACCAAACTTGTTCCTCCCCTCACAGTTAATTTCAAATATACTTTCCCCTGTGGATGTATTATTGCCCAAATGGTTGATATTTTTTTTAAAATGTCGCATCTGCTGGCTGCTACTTTTTGAAGACACAGGTAAGCATACCTTTTTCTCACTCTTGGAACTTCATGCAAAGGTAATATAGGAATGATGTGTGCATCTGTTGCACAAGGAAGATGCCCAGTGCTAGGAAAAGCAGGCACATTTTGTTCATTTCCTGTCTTCTCTGGGAAACATTCACATATCACATTTGCATTTTTAGACTACCTTGAAAAACTGTTTGCAAGCCTACTTTCCACTCATAAGAAAGGCAGCGGCCCTCAGGCATTACCTCTGAAATCCTGGGGTGAGTGGCAGGACCACCGTGGGCTAAACTACACATTATATGGGAGATCTATGGCTTGGATCCACTGGAGCGTTTCCACAGATGGAAGGATTTCCATATGTGGAGTGTGATTTTTGTTCACCTTTACCCTTTCACTGCAGCTCCAAATGCTGCTCCTGGAGGAGGTTTTGGGTGGCGGTAGGAAGGGGGAGGTGAGGAAATCATGCTCTATAGGCCAGAACCCTTCCATCTGCAGAAACACTGTAGTGGATACAAGTATCTCCTCTTATAATTTTAATGTGAACGCATAACTGGTGGTGGTGGGAGAATTGGATCATGGCAGCAGTATGGGGAAGGGAACTGTAACACTCTCACACATACTGTTTTCTTGATAGCACCTGGCCAGGGGGAGGGGATTTCTCAGCCTTGGCAGAGAACGGTGGGGGGAAACACAGGCACCCATATCATACCTGTCTTCATTTTCTTACAGAGGCTAACAGCCCCGAGGGATTTCTCCTGGGCAAATGGGGTAAGGAAGCTTAAATCAACCCATTCTTGATTCCCCCCCATTGTTGTTTTTTAACATTAAAAACCTCTAACTTGTCTGAGTTCCAAGTGAACTGAATTGGACAATTAATGACCCCACACACTGTTTAGTACAATAGAAGGAAGAAATTCATAACTAGAAATCAGAGTTTGCAATACACATAAACTGATTTCAGAGGGCAACTGTTGTCCGCTATTAGATGGGGGATAGCCAGTTGAGGTATACCAGCAAGATCTTGTCCACAAAACATTTTTATCTGGCCCCAATTGCTCTTATTTTAATCAATACGTGGCAAATTTGTCACACTGTTTCACATGCGAGGAGAAAAAATATCTGCAAAAGCTGCAAGATGTAGCACATTCTAATCTTACATTTCATTGTGCGCTTTGTATGCACATGCCTTCACTGAAAGTTACATGGAGAAGCTGTAATATTATGTGCATTTCACATAAACTTTTTGTACTGCTGTCTTGGGTCCACTGCTGAAAGGCAAAAGAGCACGGCTGAACTGCATCTTGGGGGATTCTTTAGGGAAATATATAGGTTCTTCACTCTAACACCCTTCTCAATATATAACAATGAAAATGAAATGGAGTAAGCCCCGTAATGGTGGGGTCTTGTAAGGACCGCGTAGTGCTGACTTTATTATAATGATCTTGACAACTGGTCAAGGTATGGGCTATTCAGTAAAATGTACATTCAGCCTCCAAAGCCAGACTCTGGAAAATGGAGACGCCCACAAGAATACACTGTTTCTGACTTCAGATTGCACCCAGGACCTCTGTGAAATTGGCACTGTAGACAGCTTGATCATCTTCCTGTTTTTTACACTATGTACATACAGTCAATGAAAGCAACAGGGTACCATGGATACTGCCTAAAGAAAATGCACACTATGGCTGCCCCGGGGGGCGGGGGGGGGGGGGGGGGGGATGTAGCAACACTTTTATTCTCTGGAGTTTAATTCCAAGCCACTCATATTGCTCCTTTTAAACTGGCAGTCTTGTTCTTTCACTTTTTATGCTACTCACAATGTATACATAACCATGAGAAGCATATCAGACGTTTAAAATAACCAAGCACACTATCAGTCTTGAACAAATATTTTTAAAACATTAATTACAAATCATTTATTCCCATTAAGCCTTCCTTGAAAATGTTAGCTCCAAATGCTAGCCTCTAGTTATTTAAACTTATAGTTTTTCCAGAATACACAAAATGTACTTTAAAAGCTTGCATTAGGGACATTTCATCAAGCCATTAAAGAAGACAGCACATGTTCTATAACTCTCTAATTGAACTTTCTCAGCAATATAACAACAAAAGAGGCAAAAATCCCAAAGTAAAAAAAAAAAAGTAGGACATCCACTGAGCGCTTCCCCAGAGTAAACATTTACTTGCAGGTAGACCTGCAAGGTCCTTGAAGAGATGGGAGTACCAGACCACCTCACATGTCTCGAGAAACCTGTATAAGGGCCAAGAAGCGACAGTTAGAACCGGATATGGAACAACTGATTGGTTTCGCATAGGAAAAGGAGTACGACAAGGATGTATATTGTCGCCTTGCTTATTTAATATATATGCAGAGCATGCGAAATGCTGGCCTAGATGAATCACAAGCGGGAATTAAGATTGCTGGGGAAAAGATCAACAACCTCAGATATGCAGACGATACCACTCTGATGGCAGAAAGTGAAGAGGACCTAAAGAGCCTCTTGCTCAAAGTGAAAGAGGAGAGCACAAAAGTGGGCTTGAAGCTCAACATCAAAAAAACTAAGATCATGGCATCCGGCCCCATCACTCCTTGGCAAATAGAAGGGGAAGTCGTGGAAGTAGTGACAGACTTCACGTTCCTGGGATCCCAGATCACCGCAGACTGTGACAGCAGTCATGAAATTAAAAGACGCCTGCTCCTTGGGAGGAAAGCGATGGCGAACCTAAACAGCATGATAAAAAGTAGAGACATCACCCTGCCAACAAAAGTCCGCATGGTCAAAGCAATGGTATTCCCAGTAGTCATGTATGGCTGTGAGAGTTGGACTATAAGGAAGGCCGAGCGCCGAAGAATAGATTCTTTTGAACTATGGTGCTGGAGGAGACTCTTGAGAGTCCCTTGGACTGCAAGAAGAACAAATCAGTCAATCCTCAAAGAAATCAACCCTGACTGTTCCCTGGAAGGCCAGATAATGAAACTGAAGCTCAAATACTTTGGCCACCAAATGAGAAGGGAGCACTCACTGGAGAAGACCCTGATGCTGGGAAAGATTGAAGGTCAAAGAAGACGGAGACGGCAAAGGTTGAGATGGTTAGACAGTGTCATCGATGCAACGAACATGAAGTTGAGCAAACTTCAGAGGACGGTGGAAGACCGGAAGGCCTGGCGGGAGCTGGTCCATGGGGTCGCAAAGAGTCGGACTCGACTGTGCGACTGAACAACAACAACAAAGACCTGCATTCTAGGCATTTACATTCTAAGAAAACTGTTAGATGCTCAGAGAGCAAAGCCATCTTTGTACATGTATCGTTCCCCTGCAGGCACAGCTGAGGCTCAAAACACATTATGATCCTTTAATAAATATTGCACCATTAGAGCTTTGCTTTTTTGTTGTTGTTCTTACTTATGTTACTTTCTGAGAAATACAGAGCATTTGGATGAGGAACTGGTTGAAGAAAGTTTGAATGTGCTTGTGAGCACATGGATTATATTCACTACGAAACATTTAACAGGGCTGCAAATACAACACAATATGTTACTTTTGCAGATCTCTTCTCATGTTACTTTCCCTTATGTGCAGATCCATCTATGGAAGCATCCAAAGACATTGATTTTAGTAATTTGAGAACAGTCAGACATACACTTAGCTGATGAAATTCTAGTTAGTCTGCAAACATGTATGAGAATATTTGCATAATATAAGGACGCACATCCTTTGTTTTTTCCTCACTATGCATCTGAAAAGAAGAGATAGATTCACATTCTTTGCACACACGCACACACAATCTCTTGCCCTCCTCCCCATCTTCCACCAATCTCTTGCACTCTTCCCCATCCTCCATGGCAACTTCAGATTCTTCTACATCCTTGCTCTCCAGAGTCCCTGAAACTAGGGACCATATTTGGGAATAAAATATTATGAACCCCCATGCAAGAAGCCAAGAGCCTCACCAAAGTCCTCAGCCAGCATTCCTCACAGTGCACGTGCCAGCACTGAATCGAGGTCAGGGGCATCGTGTATGAGTCCTGTAAAGAGAAAGTGGAACAGTCCCATCACATTCTGTTCTAAATGTTCGGGATACCCCCCACTGGATGCTGAGACCTGGGAAGTAGGGTGCAGAGTCAATACCACTTTACATTTAGACCACAGTTTACAGGAACTTAAATTCTCACACACTTCTGGGGCTTCCCCTGTACAATGGCAAGACATGAAACAGAAGACATGAATGACAGCGAATGTAGTATCAAGACCGTACAACCAAAAGGTAGAACAGCAGGGTTACTTGGAGACTTCTGTTGCCACCATCTGTAGACCCGCAGCTGAGACCAGCAGGGCAAAAAAAGTCAGTAGGTCTTGTGGCTGCTGCTGCAACAGACTATTAGCCTTTCCTTGAACAGCTTGATTTTATACTGCAACTCCCAGAGGCTCTCTTTTTGTCAACTGCTACTAGCAAGCTTTCTTGCAGGATAATCTTTACTGGAATACCAGCCAGTAGGCAAACAAGGATAACATGTTACTCTGTGAGACTAATATATGGTTTTCATGGCCAAAGAAAAGAAATGAAACCTATGGGTCTGTCCAGGGCTTTTTTTTTTTTTTGCAAGTAGCAAGAGTAACCTCACCTTTAAATAAGCTCACATTAGCTCTAGTTGTGCAGGAGTAATATGACAACTGGACAAATAGAGAACTAATACGGGGGGAGAGGGGTAGCCTTTTGCAAAATATAAGCCGCATGGGAAGGGAAGTATTTACCCTTCAGAAGAAAAAAGTAAGTTAAGGCATGAGAACTGGAGGATTATTGTTTTAGGGAAAAGAGTAAACTTGCATTTCCCTCATTATTTTAAGGGTCTACATGTAAGAAAATTATCTTTTGTTAGGGCTTTAAAGAACATTAAAGCTGGGGGGGGGGGAGAACATTTTCACTGTGATCATTATTTGCCCTTTGAATACAACCAAGGCGATTTTCCTGAAATGGAGGCACAGCCTGGAGGCAAAGTGATCTGCATGCCCTGCATCCCCCCCTCACTTCACTTGGAGTCTCAAAGCAGCTTACAAACCCTTTTCTCTTCCCCTCCCCACAATAGACGCCCTGTGAGATAGGTGGGGCAGAGAGCTCTTTAAAGAGCTGCTCTGACCAGAACTACGGCTTGCCCAAGGTCATCCAGCAGCTGTAAGTGGAGGAGTGGGGAATCAAACCCAGTTCTCCCACATTAGAGTCCGCGCACTTAACCACCACACCAAACTGGCTCTCTGAAAGAGCTACAAGTGTGTGAAAACTGTCAGCACAAGAGGAGCTGAGAAATGATGTAGATTCCAAGCCACTAGAGGGAGTTTCAGCACTTCAGTACATTAGCCACCAGAGGAAGGACACAGACAATTTTGAAATATCGGGGCTAATGGCTTGTACTTAAATCACATGGTAGGCCTTAGATCAGGTACTGACCTCCTTCTAGCATGTGTAGGGAGAAAGGAATACAGATGCAGGGAAATCTGCTGTGCTGTAAAGTACCCCAACAGAGTAGGCAAGTTGCCAATAAAACCTTATCTCAGCAACATGCACTGAAAGGGACTCTGGTTAACAGAAACTTGAGGCATCTCCCCAGAGTTCAGGGACATGGCTACTGTTTCCACACATAAAATATCAACTATGCCACTGTGCTACAGACAAGGAATAGCGAGAGTTATTTCCTTATTCATGACCACAACTGGCAAGCTACTCACCATGCAAATGAGACATTTATAGCGGTCCCCACGGGAGAGCTGCCTTTCTAACTCACGGACGCGAGCCTTTAGCGCTTCAAATGTTGTCACTGCTGAATCTTCTGTAATCCTACAATAGATGACAAGTCAGGGCTCGCCAAGTTCTTAGAAACATTCCATTGATTTCATTATGTGCCAAGTATGTATTAGGAGAAAACACCATGTTAGGAGAGTGCATCCTGGCTCTTGGTGAGAGGAAAAAAAGAGATCCAGTCAAGAAAACCTTAATTTTGCAAACTTGAGAATAGGCTGTAGAATGAACCACCTTTGGAAGGTTTGAAAACAAAGGCCAATGAGTCGGAAAACAAAGTTCAAAGTTTTTCTTAGATGGTCAGAAATATATTGCACAAGGGGTAAACCGCAGTACTGGTGGTGGTGGTGGTGGTGGGAATCCCTCTCCCTGTTTTAGCACCATTGCTTACGGGCCCAGTGCAGCTTCCAGCCTCTGCTACTGGGCCTGCAACAATCCCACCCCCACCCCCATCGCTGCTGACAATTAAGAGCCACCAAGGCTCCTGCCTCTCCCATCAACAACTGCAGCTGGCCCAGCACTGCTCCCAGTTTCAGCCCACTGTAAGCTTCTCCCCACCATTGCCACTGTCATGGCTCCCTTCCCCTTATTGCCGCAATGCTCGCTGGGCCCTGTCCCAGCCTCTGCTAACAGACCCCCTGTCGTCCTCATGGCTCCCAAACCTCCCCCCACCCATTACTGACAACTCCAGTAGGCCCAGTGCAGCTCTTGGCTTCATAAGAACATAAGCAGCTTCTCTCCCCCGTCACCGCTGCTGATACTGGGGCTACTTGTCGCTCCCCCTCCCCACCTGCCCACAACTGTTGCTGGACCTGGCATGCCTCCCAGCCTCTGCTACTAGGCTCCCTGCAGTTCCCCAAATGCCACAGTAATTGTTAGGGCTGCTACAGCTGTTGGGGCGGCTACAGCTAGTAGGACCCCCATCACTGTCATTGCCACTGCCTAAGAAGAGTTGGTTTTTATACCCCACTTTTCTCTACCTCAAGGAGTCTCAAAGCTGCTTACAGTCACCTTCCCTTCCTCTCCCCACAACAGGCACCTTCTGAGGTAGGTGGGGGCTGAGGGAGTTCTGAGAGAAACTGTGACTGGCCCAAGGACACGCAACAGGCTTCATCTGGAGGAGTGGGGAATCAGACCTGGTTCTCCAGATTACAGTCCACCATTCTTAACTACTATATCTTGCCAGCTCTGGCCTGACAGAAGTATGTGCATTGGCTGTGCACACGCAGATAATGCCTTTTTTTATTTAGGGGGAATTTAACCCCCCCCCCCATATGTTCTTTTTTTAGTTTTCAGATTTTTCTGCAAACCTGGGGGGTCCCCTAAATTTGCAGGAAAATCTGTTAAGTGTTAGTGCGGCCCCAATCCACAGACTTAGTTATCTGTGGATGGGGCCACATTTGAGAAACAGATTCTGGAGGGCAGCCTGGGGAGACAATGAGGTTGCATAGATTTCTGATTTCTGATTTGATCTGTGACTAGCAGTTGTGAAATTATGACAGCTTCATTTTCAAGGGGATTTTGCTAAAATGATGCCAAATCACCACAACTAGGGGGTCATATGTGTAACCACAGAGCTACACAGTGCACTGGGATAAGAGCTGAGGGAAACAATGGCAAAACCTTGATCAAGTCAAAACATTCCTCTGCTCACATAAAAATAAGCAGAGTATTGGTTTAAGGGGTTATACCTATAGGGTATACCTGTAAATAAGACAATTTGTACAGAGAAAGAACTTGGCTATCAGGATTAAAACCAGTGCAACATTTTGACACTGGAAAGAACAAAATGTGTATATGTAACTGCAAACTTGTCACCTACCAACACAGCACACAGTATCCAAGAAAGCCCCTCCTACAGTGGTCTGTGTATGCACATGTGGGTTTCTGTATGTTCATTCTCACTACTTCAATCCTTATTCAGACACTGTAAATTCTGTGCAAATCCAAGTCTTGCAATCAGAATGACTATAACCAGCAGAGATGTGACTATTTATGGAAAGCAAAGATTGTTGCTTCTTTAGTGCAATATATGATTTAACCCCCCACACCCACTGCATCATCAATAAAGAAAAAAGTGGTGTGAGAGATGATATGCATTTTGAGAAGGGTTAGCAGGTACCACCACAAAATGACTGCTATGGATGACCATACCTACATTTCTATTAAATGAAACATCGGGGGGAGGGGAATGAAAACTTGCAATTTTTGTACAGCAAAAAATAGCACAATTGCTTATTCTAGCTGATATTTATCCAACTGAAATAAATTGTGAGTGGCTTTAATTATCATTTTCAACTCTTTAGAGGACTGGAGAACTCAAACGGGAATTCCTCAAAGTAATGGCAGTGGCACTTCTGCTCACACAAGACCAATGTCTTTAAAGGAGCTGAAAAGTGCCTAGTATAAGAGAGATGGAAGACCAACACCACAACAAAGAAGAGAAGAAGAAGAAACAAGGTATAAGATCTAAGCCCAAAGTTTAATGGAACAAGTAAGTCCCTTGGGTACTTCAACAAGGATAGTAAAGGTAAAGGTTCCCTTGCTCGAAAGCCAGTCGAATCCGACTCTAGGGTTGCGGTGCTCATCTCCGTTTCAAAGCCGAAGAGCCAGCGCTGTCCGAAGACATTTCCGTGGTCATGTGGCCGGCATGACTAAACACCAAGGTGCACGGAACACTGTTACAACAAGGATACACGCTTGTAAAAAAGTCAGACTTCCCAGCTTGGTAGGACAATGGAGGCAATGGAAGAGCTACGTATCGATGGCAAAGAGGGCCAGAACGGACAGCATAGCACAGCTCAGTTTACCTCTTCAAGAAACTGAACAGTGTCTGAACCAGCTGCATTTGTCCCTGATACAACAGGTCAGCTGAGCACCACCTCTAAGCATAGTAAAGAGCACTACCACCCAACACTAACGGAGTTCGAGGAAGAAGAGGCAGGCAATGATAGAAAATGGTTTGTTTATAGGATTATAACAAGCTGACCCTTGCCGGCCAGTTTTGGAAACTCTTTCAGATGATTGTCCCTGTCCAGTAATAAACGAATGAATCAGAAGAGGAGGTTGAATAGAGGCATAAGCAATAACACTCACTGCCTGCCTGATACAATGGGCAATCAATAGTAGGGCTGTAGATCAGGGTGCTAGTTAGCTGGAAAATTACTGCATAGCTGTGTGCGTCACGCTGGAGGGATCCTGGACAATCAATGAGGGAGGTATTGATTTAGTTATTATCACTTCATATGCTCCAGACATTGTTAAATATACATTTATTAACAAGGCTGGGGGGCATGCAGAAAGCAGCAAGTCTGAGCAAGTGCAACCTCTCCTCCAGCTGAGTCAGCATGCCAAAACTCTTCATCCCTGTCCACATTAACAAGACCTTAAGTCAACAAAGTAAGGACTTCATGGGTGTAGGCCAACTGTTCCTGATCTCTTCCCCCTCATTATGTATGTAAGATTCTAGGAAGAGACTATCCTCCCCATCTCCACTGGGACCATTATCAATCAAAGCATTAGCAGTTCTGATGCCAGCTTTTGTGAGTGAAGTCGTTACAAGAGAGAAAACGTAAGAGTGACCTTATCATGTCCTATTAACAGGAGAAGGGGACAAGACTGGTTTCCCCATCTTAGTACAACGAAAAAGGAACAGATGCAAAATTTTAAAAAACCAGTGGGCCAGAATTTTACCTTGGGTGACATACCAGGTTCTATTAAGAAATACCTAGCACTAAGGTGGAATTATGTGCCTCTATCCCCCCCCCCCAAATCTAATGGATAGGGTACCATCTGTTGACTTTTTTGACTCTGCTTTTTTTCTTGCATAAAATGCCACACCTTTGAGCAGTCTAGATGGGACCATGGTCATGGCCAGAATGACCCTCTTGGCAAGGGTCTTGTTAGGAGTACAAGGTGTTTCAGGCTGCCTCAGGGCCAAACTAGATGTGACAGGGTCCTCATGTCTGCTATGGGGCCATCATTTTAAAGTGATTTAAAAATGCTGCAAGAACATGATTCTGATTCGTTCCCTGCCAGCACCTTTTCAAGCACTGAAATGCCCCTCCACCCAGCTGTTTTGGCACTTGAAAAAGTACACTGAGGGGAATGCAACAGCAGCCTCAGGATCAGGTCCCAGTGGCATTTTTAAATCACCTTAAAATGGCAGCAGAATCCCTATGGTGGACAAGAGGACGCTGTCATGTCTAATTTAGTTTTCAGTGGTGTATACACATCCTCAGTTTTGCTTCAGAAAATTCAGTGCATACTACTCTCAAAATTTATCTTTCCCTCCAATGTGTTTTTTCCCAACAGGATACAAATTTCCTTTCTCTTTATAAATAGTCACACTGTATATAACATTCCATAAATTTTTACAGCCCTCCTGTTTGTATGCAGGTTTGTAAAATGCATTTAGCTCTGATTAAATGCACCATCAATAAAATTTCATGGGATATTTCTGACACCTGATAACTTGACCTTCCCTCCTTTTCACATAGTCACTGTTTCTGTGTTCATGAGCGGAGAGTTTTAGACAACTTCAGGATTTGTCTTCAGTTATCTACTAATTCCTGCTCTTCCTCTCATAAGAAAAAAAGATAGACATCATTTATATCCACTAAGACACAAGACAGGTAGCCTAAAGCTCAATCAAATGAAAAACTGGCACATACAGAACAGACTTCTTCCTCACAAACAGAATAAGATTCAAAATGTGTAGATGAAACTTTTCTGGCTCCTTCCCATATCTATTCAGTGGTGTAAAATGAACAGTCACTTCCAGAATGACCCGAATAAGAATATGGGTGCATGACCCTGCAACATGCAATTAAGTCAATACTAATGGAACGTGCTAAGGAACAGTGAAGCACAGAGATGTATACTTAAGTGCCACACATACAGTCATATGATGTAGCAATCCCAAATACAAGCATACAGAAATTACTTTAGGTATATTATCTAATACAGCAAAACTATGATTCCAAATTTTCACAAGTGACACCTGAATTAGGCAGCATACAATATTTAGTGTGCAACCA